CGCTCCGGTCAGAAAAAAAAAATTCGATTTTCAGTGGTGGGCCCTAGGAAGCGTTCCCACTAGGGAGCCTGCTCTATACCATGTGAAGAAATGAGGAATGAATGAACTAGCAAGCAGGTGGGTACAAGTAGGAAACCTAGAAATGTTGTACCCTATAGTGTCTACCCCACTACAGCCTAGATAGACCATAGCATATAAGTTTGACATAGTTATGGCAGCAACAGAGGATGAGAAGCCGAACTCGGAACCACCTGCAGATGTTGGAGCAGTACAAAGACATCATGCCAGACGACCTGCCTGCTGGAGTACCTCCAGCGCGAACCCATGAGCACGAGATCGTGGATGAACCAGGTGCAAAACCCGTCTCCCGTGCACCGTACTGGCTAAGTCCGACCGAACTGAGTGACATGAAGAAGCAGATTGAATACCTCTGGACAGACAACTGATCCGCCCATCCACCTCTCCCTACGGCGCACCGATTTTCTTCACTCCAAAGCCAAACGGTAGTTTACGGATGGGCATCACTACCGCGCACTGAACAAACAGACAGTCAAGAACAATTACCCCATACAGCGCATAGTCGATCTTTTAGACCAACAGCGATGTGCGACGGTTTTCGAAGCTGGACCTACGGTCGAGTTACTGGGAGATCAAGATGGCAGATAACTCGATCCACAAGACGGCATTCCGTACCAGATACGGCTCCTACGAATACTTAATGATGCTGTTTAGACTCTGCAACGCACTGGCAACGTTCTACGCAGGGATGAATCACATCCTACGGCCGTTGATGGACGAATGCGTAGTAGTTTACATGAACAACATTCTCATCTACTCGAAGAACATGAACGAGCACATGGAGCATTTGCGAAAAGTCTTTAAGATCCTGCGGACGAACAAATGCCACGTGAAGCTGCCCAAAAGTGACTTCTGTTAACGGGAGTGAAGTGTTGGCCCCGCCCTCGCTTGGGCAACGCCGACGACTTGGTCGGATGTACGGGAGAAGCAGCCGACCGTTCACAGTGGGAGAGCTGCTCGACGGGCTTCGTCGAGCTGCCGGGGACCGCTGTGGTGTTGCAACTGACTGGTCTGGGAGACGGGTGGGACGTCGACAAGGAGGTGCAGTTCGACCGAGTGGTCGACGGAGTAGCCCGTCGACCTGCAATTCGACCGGGAGGTCTATGGAGCAGTTTGTCAACCTGCAGTTCGACCGGGAGGTCAACGGAGCAGTCCGTCGACCTGACAAGTGAGCAGCGGTCGACGAGGGGAGCTCGGCGACGTCAGCTGTCAGTTCTGGTCGACGGAAGGGATTCGTCGACCAAAGGGTAGCTCGACGGGAGCTGTGGTCGGCCAGAGGCACCTGGTGGTCGACCAGGGGCACCTGGTGGTCGACCGGAGGCACTGGTGGTCGACCGGAAGCACTTGGTGGTCGACCAGGTCGACCGGGTAACCTGCTCGACGAGTTCTGTGGAGGCACGCGAACGTCGTCGAGGTCGTGATGGCGAAGGGGACTTCGGGCTGGTATCCTGAAGTCGATGTGGCTCGTCAGGCGCAGACAACAGCCGACGGATGCACAACGAGGCAAGTCGTGCCAATCGTCTGCGCGCACCTGCGAGCGTGCGCACTGCTGTCTCCTACAGCGCAACGCTGGACAGCCGCTCTGCTGCAGCGGTGGCACGCCGTCGAACTGTAGTGTTGGCAGGTCGCCTTTCCGAAGTGCTGGCGCGGCTCCTCTACGCAACGCTGATAGGCGGTCGACCAAGCTATGCTGGCGGTCGACCAGGCTAGCTGCAGAGTTGCTAGGTGCCTGATGTAGTCATTGTTGTGCTTTCTTGTTCAATCATTCTGTAATTTTCGACTTTGCTAGTGGAAACTCTTGCGGATTTCTCCCGTGATTGTGCAAGCGCAAAGGAACTAGGCAAAGCTACGATCACTCTCAGTAGTTGGTGCCAACCTTGTAGTCTAGCTCACTACCGTTGTAGAGTGAATCTCCACATTACCTTCAGATAGGAGCCGACTTTTGCACCTACTAAGTCGTTCGTAGGCCGGCAGCAGCGTTAGTCGCCATGGTCGACCAAGTAGTTGATGCGGGCGTAGCGGACACCTTGGAGGCACGCTTGGCTAATGCGAGGAAACGCCACGCGGATGGCGAGTATGAGACGATCCCTTGGGCGGTCGTCGATTTGGGCATCCGGTCGCAGTGGCCGACGGAACACTCTTCCCGTCCCGCATCTCCTCGACCGGTGCGCAACAAAGGTGGCGTCGACGACGAGGTCGACGGTGGTGCACGAGTCAGCGACAGTGAAGGCACGAGGCAGAGAGGGGTGATCAAGGTCGACGGTGGTGTCGACGGGATTCAGGTGCGAGTGCAGCGGTCGACGGCGTCATTGAAAATGCATGGTTTTGTTTTTTTTAACCCTTATTTTCACCAGTTGATTTTTGGACCAGCCCTTAAAACTGAAGGGTGATTTATGAGGCAACTCGAACCTCTCTGGAATGTTCTCGAGGGGCCTTGGATTGTTTTAGCAAACACTTATCCTCCCCAACCTGCTTCGCATCATTAAGACTGTGTGTGTTGGGAATAAATTATTCCCTACCAAGTTGCGAGATTTTCATTCAAAACAGTGTATGGTTCAAACTAGATAGAAATCGCAAGGACGAGATGTACACATTTGTGTAAAAAATGAATATATGTCAACGTGTTAGCCCCAACGCTTATATAATTCTCGATTACAAGCGTACCCCCTAAAAAAACGTGACCTTTGGCTATACAGACTCGTTCGAAGGTGGAGCTGAGAGCGAGCAGCCTGTAGGCAGAGGAGTGGACTGTGGCGAGGAGAACTGGAAGCCGAAGCGCTGAAGGACCTGGTGCACCATGTGTGAATGAGTCAGAGTGATGGTGACCCGTGCTTTGTCTCGTGTGATCTGCAAGCCAAGATAGCTGCGCAGCTCACCCAGGTCAATGCAAGTGTGTCTTTTCTGCAGCTCCGACTTCACAAAGGCCAGTGCCTCAATGATAGCAGTAGCAAAGACCAAGTCATCAATGTACACGAGGATGTAGAACGGTGGCAGAGAAGGGACGGTGTGCAGAAGCAGTGACTGGTCAGCAGTAGAAGGAGCAAACCCAAGAGCCGCAAGTGTAGTTCTCAGTGTATCGTGCCACTCGCGGTAGCCTGACGGAGACCGTAGACTGGCCGCCAAAGGCTCCACTAGGTACCCTCAGGAAACGACTCAGTGAAGCCAGGTGGGAGGCGTAGCCAGATCTCCTCGTGAAGGCTGCCATGCAAGAAAGCTGTGCTGAAGTCAAGCGAGTGGAGCTCGTAGTCACGTTGTGCTGCAACATGCAGCAACACTCGAAGAGTGATCATCTTCGGGGTGGGGAAGAAGGTATGGAAGTAGTCGACCCCTTGTTACTGACTGAAGCCTCGTGGTATGTAACGCGCCTTGAAGGCAGGCGGCAAACACGCCGACCACTTAACCCTGAAAATCCACTTGCCATCGATTATGTTTGCCCCAGGAGGGGGAACTGCGTCGACGTAGGTGCCTGCGGACTATCATAATGCCACCTTTGCGTCCACGGCTGTCTGTCACAGAGAGGAGTACGGATCCGTAATCGCCTCTGCGTAGGAGCACATGATCAGGATGTCTAGTGCATCCGGGTCTTCCTCAGGGCAAAGCAGCATGGCAGCGAGAAGAGGAACAGCAGCCGCGGGGCACTCGAGCTCGAATTGCCTGTCCTTAAGGACGTTACTGTCAAGGGCAAGCTCACCCCTGTCCGACGGAGGACAATCAGACTCAGACTCAGTAACAAGACTCGCGAAGTAGTCAAGACGACAGGTAGCAGCAAAGTCAACAAGCTTAGCGACTAAGTTAGACACAGCAGTAGACTCAAATATATTGTCAGTGACAACTGTGGCCAGGAGACGCGTGACAGTAGGACTCGAAACACGAGCAAGGCGAGACTCAGGGTTAGGAACGTCAGGAAGAGAGGACGACGGAGGAGACGACAGGGCAAAACGCTGTGGAACAAAGGAAGGACGAAGTGTCACAGTATGGATACCGGGGACAGGAGAGGCAGGACGAGACGCAGACTCACGACGCTTTGCTAGGGAGTCTGTCTGCTCTGGGTAAGGAGAAGGAACATGCAGAGGGGAGTGAGGCTGTAACAGTGGCTGCGACGGGGCAGGCGAAGGACACAGTAGAGGTGGAGTAAAGCCAATGGAAGACGGACGACTAAGAACCTGGCGAAGCCCTGAGTCAGGTGGTGACAGTGTCGACTGAGGCTGCGGGATGAAAAACGGTCGCCGGTGCGCAGTGCCCACAGTATTAGAGCCCCAGCACCTCCAGCAGCTCAAGTACCTCCAGCTCCAGTACCTCCAGCACCAGTACCTCTAGCAGCTCAAGCACCTCAAGCTCCAACACCTCCAGCACCAGCAGCTCCAGTACCTCCAGCACCTCTAGCACCTCCAGCTCCAACACCTCCAACACCAACAGCTCCAGGTACCTACAGCACCAGCAGCTCTGATACCATGCCAGAGCATGAATGATTGCACTAGCATGAGTGACAAGTACAAGTCGTATTAACCTTAAGGGTTGTACCCAGTACGCTCTATCCTACTACAGCCTAAAAAACATATACATGCATTTTGACAGAGTCTTGTACGGTACTCTGAATCCATCAGGGAACAAAACAGTGAAATCAATGGTCAGCAGCTCATAGGTCTGATTTGTCATACTAATCAGACTATCTAGTCTGATAGCATCAGCCCGGGCTAAGATTCCAAAAGAAGGGATCACGCTGATGGTCAAAAGAAAAATCAGGAACTACGGTTGAAAATCAGTGAAACAAAAAAAACTAGGCGAAGAAACAGGGTTAAATTGAAACACAAAAATAAGTGTGCACCGTACGGTACTACACCACATACCACCGCAGCAGCGTCCTGTCTAGAGTACAATCTGGCGGCGCTGCACTACACTGCACCATGTCATCATAAGCAGCATCACTGGCACACAACGTCAGAGTAGAAAACGATCTGGCGGCGCTCGCAGGTGCGGATGGCAAGCAGCTCGATGTCAAACACCTCGTACTGCTTGGCGCTGAAGAAGGTGGAGGGGCCGGTCTGTGGTGTGGGAAAGGTATGAAGTGGAGGGAACAGGGATGGGGAGAGAAGGCAGTGAGGAGTCCCGGGCATGTAGGATGGCGAGCAGCTCGATGTCAAACACCTCGTACTGCTTGGCGCTGAAGAAGGTGGATGGGCCGGTCTGTGGTGTGCGGGAGGGGGAGCAAGCAGGGAGTGCAGGCAGTGAGGAGGATTGGGCAAGCAGGTCTGTTGTGTGTGGCAAGGGGCGAGCAGCTCGATGTCAAACACCTCGAACTGCTTGGCGCTGAAGGTGGAGGGGCCCGTCTGTTGTGTGTGGTGTGGACCGGGGAAGGAAGGAGAGACAAGCAGGGGTGAAGGCGGTGAGGAGGATTGGGTGTGCCGGATGGCGAGCAGCTCGATGTGAAAGACCTCGTACTGTACTGCTTGGCGCTGAAGAAGGTGGATGGGCCGGTCTGTTGTGTGTGGACCGAGAGAGAGGGGGAAGAGAGGGAACCAAGCGGGGCATAGGGCAAAACGGAGGGAGGACAGGTAGGGAGTGAGGGTGGTGAGGCGACAGCGGGTAGCTCGACGTGAAAACACCTCGTACTGCATGTCTGTGGATGGGCCGGTCTGTGACCAGCATGGGAGAGTAGGGAAGGGAAAAGACAAAGGGGGGTTGAAGGCGGTAAGGAGACTGGGGTTGGTACTCGGGCCCTGTCACTACCCTCAGCATCCATGACGGATGGCGAGCAGCTTGGTGTCAAACAAGGTGGATGGGCCTCGTACTGCTTGGCGCTGAAGAAGGTGGATGGGCCGGTCTGATGGGAGATGCATGGGAGAGTAGGGCAGGGAAAAGGCAAAGGGGGGTTGAAGGCGGTGAGGAGGCCAGGAGTGACGGATGGCGAGCAGCTTGATGTGAAACGCCTCGTACTGCTTGGCACTGAAGAAGGTGGATGGGCCAGTCTGTTGCGATGAGAGATGCATAGGAGAGTTGGGGTTGGAGGAGAGGGAGAGACACATAGGGAGTGAAGGCGGTGAGGGGAAAGGTGGGGAAGGGAGAGAGGGAGGGATCGAGACTGAGAAGACGGGAGAGGAGCAAGTGCAGGTGAGTGAGGGAAGGTGCACGTATCTTTGAGAGCCGACTCGAAATGAATCTTACCGGGGGGCCGAGCTCAGGAGGGATGATGATTCGCCTGCGCCCACCCGCCTTCATGCCACTAATGCCCTCCTCAAACCCTGCACACGGGGCAAGCAAGCACGCGGGGCAAGCAAGCACGCGGGGCAAGCGAGCACGCAGGGCAAAAAAAGGTTGTGAGAAGCAGGAATAACATGAGAAATCTGCCAGCAGGAGAGGATGATGAGGGGCGATGGGGCATTGGGGAGCCTTACGCATGGAGTTTTGGTCGAGCCTTGGGCGAATTAGGCCCGTTAGACGTTTGGATTCCGGCGACCGTTCTTTAGGAATGGCATGAGGCGTGTGCGGAATGGAGGGCCGCAATGGCTTTGATGAAGGGCAGGAGAGGAGGAGAGGAGGTGCTGGGAGAGAGAAGCAAAGACACGCTTTGCATGGCATGGCGAGGCTGTGGCGTGATGTGGCGTGGGTGGCATAGCATAGCACAGCACGGCATGGCGCATGGCATGGCGCATGGCATGGCATGGCAAGGGAGAGAGACCTGGGATCATGCCGTTGATGCCGACTCTGGTCTTGGCGGGGCGGCCCTGCAGGTACGTGCTGTCCACACGCCTGCCCGACTCGTTAAAGCCTATGTAGTTGAACTCCACCTGGTGTGCCGTGGGGGCCGTAGGCAGAGGAAGAAGCAAAGGAAGCGGCGCAAAGTGGGTGAAAGAGGAGGAGATACGTCACATTCCCCACGGAGGGCGTGAGTGCTGTGCTGTCCACATGCCTGCCCGACTCGTTAAAGCCTATGTAGTTGAACTCCACCTGTTGTGCCATTGGGAGGCAGCGCAGACAGGAACATAGGAAGCGAAGGGGAAGAGAAGGGGAAGAGAAGGGGAAGAGAAGGGGAAGAGAAGGGGAAGAGAAGGGGAAGCGAAGGGGAAGAGAAGGGGAAGAGAAGGGGAAGAGAAGGGGAAGAGAAGGGGAAGAGAAGGGGAAGAGAAGGGGAAGAGAAGGGGAAGCGAAGGGGAAGAGAAGGGGAAGAGAAGGGGAAGAGAAGGGGAATAGAAGGGGAAGAGAAGGGGAAGAGAAGGGGAAGAGAAGGGGAAGAGAAGGGGAAGCGAAGGGGAAGAGAAGGGGGTATGGGGCAGGGGGTATGGGGCATGCGACAGGGAATGTGGGATATGAGCCACGGCAAGGATTGATTAGGATTAACCACGGCCTCATAAATGATGGATTTGAACATTTATAAACAAAGAATGTGGCGGGGGGGAAGGTGGAGCAGCAAGTGAAGAAGAATGTGGAGGTAGTGGGGAGGGCGTGGAGAGAGGGGGAGGGAGGGGGAGGGAGGGGGAGGGAGGGCATTGGAGAAACGAGAGGTTGATTGAGGTGAAGGAAGTCGGGGTGGGCTGACCTCCTGTCCTGACGATGGAGGCTCGCCCTGACCTTCCACTATGTCCCAGTAGATCAGCCCTGCACGATTGCATGCATGCATGGCATTCAAGTCATGCACACATCACGCACCCATGTTATGTCATGTCATGGCACGGCATGGCATGGCATGGCATGGCATGGCATGGCACGGCATGGCATGGCATGGCATGTTATGTCATGTACGTGTGTGTGCAGGGGTGCAGTCATGCAGACAGCCACACATGCACACGTGAAACATGCAAGGGAGTGCAAAGAAATGGAAGAAGCAGGAGAAACATTGGGTGTTGGGAGAAGCAGGAAACGAAGAACGCAGGCAGAACAAGGAACGAGAATGGTGCAGCAGCAGCCACAGCAGCAGCCGCAGCACCAGCAGCAGCACCAGCAGCAGCATCAGCAGCAGCACCAGCAGCAGCACCAGCAGCAGCACCAGCAGCAGCACCAGCAGTAGCAGCAGCAGCGGCGGCGGCGGCGGCGGAAACATTTCACGCACCTGTGGGCGAGACCTGGTACTCGGGCCCTGTCACTACCCTCACTTCGAAGCCTGTGGGGACAAGCACAGGGGCGCGTGGCAAGAGGGGGAAGAAGGGGAAGAGATTTGGGGAGCCTCACAAGACACCCGTGGGCGAGACCTGGTACTCGGACCCTGTCACTACCCTCACTTCGAAGCCTGTGGGGCCGAGTGCAGGGATGGGCGGCGATAAGGAGGAGAGGGGAAAGAGAGGGGAGAAGGGGGAGAGGGAAAGCGAATGGGGGAGAGAGGGGAGAATGGAGAGAGGCGAGACGGGAGAGAAAGGGGAAAGAAATAGAGGGGGGAGAGGGATAACGGAGCGAAGAGAGGGGAGAGAGGAGGAAGGGAGGGGGGAGGAGGGGGAGGAAGGTGAGCACGAGGAGTCTGATATGAGGGGATGATACGATAGGAGGAAGGAAGGTGCTATGGATGGAGGAGGGGAGTGGGTGAGATGTAGCAGAACAAAGGATTCACAACGAGCATGTTACGTACTTATAAGAAGAAAGAAGCCTCTTGAGGACAAAAGCATGGATTAATCAAGGGAAGGAAATGGGGACAAGGAGAGAGTAAGGCGGAAGCGAGGGGAGAGCAAACGTTGAACAACGGGAGGGGGGAAGCAAGCAGGGAGGATGAGGAGAGCACAGGGGGATAAGTCCCCCACACGCATCGTCCATCGCATTGCTACCTCACAATCAGCACTCCCTCTCTCTTCCTTCACCCCCCTGACCCCTGCCCCCATTCCGTACCAACCCTTCCGCCCCCGTCCCCCCTGTCCCTCCCCAATCTTCCCCCTTCCGCTCACTGCCCGCTCCCTGCCCGCTCCCTGCCCGCCCGCCCCCAGCGTACCTTGGCGGATGAACCCCGGGAAGTTCTCAGGCGCTTGGTTGAGGCGCTGGATGCGGCGGTTCTGCTCCAGCAGCCGCTGCTCGTCGTACGACTCCATCGGCCGGTCCGTGATCGTTGCTGCAACCGCTGCCCCCCTCGCTGCTGCTCCCCCCGCTGCTTCCCCCGCTGCTCCCTCCGCTGCTCCCCTTGTTGCGCCCCTTGCTCCGCTCGCCCCTGTTTCCGATACGAGGTCGCCTAGGCTTACGCCGACTGCCGCTGCTGCTGCTGCTAGCAGCATGGATCGGCGGGACTGCGATGGTGGTGATGGTTGGTGGCACGTGGAGGGGTGCGCTACCGCTGCTGCCGCTGCTACTGTTTGCTCATCCTGCCGCTGGTCCTGCTGCTCTGGTACTGACGAGGATGCAGAGGCGGTGACTTCTGACGGTTGGGAGAAGTGAGAGCATGTGGGCGAAGGGAAAGGGATGAGTTGATAAAGCAACGGCACTTGCACCACAGGGCCTGATGCGCAGACCTTAATCACAGCCACAATCACAGCACCTACTGCATCGAACCGCCATAATCCCGCAAGCCATCACACAAATCGCAAAATGCAGCTTTGGCGTGCGCGCGGCACGCACACACACACACACCGAAACCCACCCACACACGCATGTACCCATACCCACCAACGAACACACCCACGCACACACATACGCACACGGACACGCACACGGACACGCACACGCACACGCACATGCACACGCACACGCACACGCACACACAAAAGAGATGAATCACCGCACGTTACGCGCGCGATCCACCCCTCGCCCCGACCGCATCGCTCCCCGAAGCGACGGGGGGGGAATGAGAGCTTGTCGCGGTGGCCTGAGTGCCTTTCGAATCGGCTCGCAAGAACATCCGCGACGGTGAGAGTATGTAGTGTGGTGGGCGGTCCGACGCCATCAACGTCGCTTTCATCGCTCGCATCTCACTTCGAGGTGTATTCGCGGTCGCTTTCGAAAATTCGAAAATGTATGACGCAAGCTGCGCTCCGGCAAAGCTCGCATCTCACCAGACCACCATCGCCACCGCCGCCGCCGCCGGCGACGTGGCCGAAGACGTCGGGCCGAAGTCGTCGCCGCTGCTTGCGACAGATTGACGATCAATAGCGACGAATGCTGGTTGACAATCTATCCATTATCGCAGAGATTCCTTCGAATCAGATCAGAGCTGTTCCATTCCCACCTCGTTCTCCACCTCGTTTCCAACCCTCTTCGTCTCCCCTTTTCGCAACTCACCCGCTCGCTCTCTCCGCCGAGCAGCACTGCCTGCGGGGAACCGCGCGCCGCGCGACAATGCGACGAGCGATCGCCGTCCGCGCGCGACGGGCGACGCCAAGGGAACCGCCATTGCAGGCGCCCCGATAACGGGAGCGTGAATCGCGGACATGGCGCGGAAACACTCGGGAGTCAGAGGAGGAGTGAAGCTGAGACTTCACAGGAGAGGAGCAGAGCTTAGTGTTCAGATAGTGCACGCGGAGCACTGCTGGCAGCAGCAACCAACGGACGACCACAACAATCCCAAGAATCTGGCTGAATGGCTCACTCGAGATTGGATTGGGATGGATGGAGTTGATGTTGGAAAGTTCGGCCATTATCTCCGATACTCAGACTTCGCCTGAGCGTGTTCTCAGGTGTAATCAACCTGGACTATCTCAACGTTGATTGGTCGTCACTTTAAAATCACATTTCTCACGCTGGTCGAGCTCATTAGGAAGTGACAAAAACAGAACCATTCAGTTTACCCTACCGACTTGGATATAAGTATGAAATTTACGTAGTAAGAGATTGAAGCCCATATGATTCAACGCTAAACAACCGACCGCTAAACAACGCTACCGGTATTCGGGCATGGCAGAGAAAAATAAAACCCCTAGAGAACCTGGGTGCATTTTCGAGAGGAGTCAACCCTAAACACGGGAATGGGCATTGTTTTTAGGGTTGATGCCTCCCGAGTCGCATCCCTTTCCGATTGGGTTTTATTTTTCCTGTAAAGTGAGTTGCAATATGTTTTCCAAAATATTTGGCGGCTTTCGGTATTTAGGGTTGATCCTTCCCGGAAATCATCTAGGTTCGCTTCAGGTTTTATATTTATTTGTTTGCAAGCGCTGGAACTTTTTTTAGTGACTGTATACAAATATGAGACAGGAAATCTCCTCACTATATCGCAAAACCGTGTTTCTGTCGGTGATTACACCTGAGAACACGCTCAGGCAGATTTTGAGTATCGGAGATAATGGCCATTGGGAAGTTTCGTTAATACGGTAATCTCCATGTGTTACAGTCGGTGCTCATTTCAAGAACACCACCAGGTAGGCGGGCGGCATGTGCGCGAAACGTGTTTCAGGCATTTCGCCACGTTCGCCCTTGTTGCCACGGGCAAAAATGTGATTGTAAATACAGTCAGTGCCCATCTCAAGAACACCAGGTAGGCGGGCGGCATGTGCGTGAAACGTGTTTGGGGCATTTCGCCACACTCGCCCTTGTCGTCACGGACAAAAATGTGACAGTAAAAAGAAATTGCAATGTGAATCGAGTCAAGGGTTTTAATTCCGTAACCAGGTTAACTTCTCTGATGACGGGCAACCGTTGTTGTTTATGTACTGTAGATGTATTTCTTCCTCAACTTGGTGACTGTACCCCGAAATCGGCATAATGGTCAATTTAGTCACTCATAGGCAAAATGTTCGCGAGTGACTAAATTTCTAATTGTGAGGAGCAAATGTTTTGTGACAGGCTGAGCATCGACTGTACCAGTGCAATTGAGCGAGCGAGCGAGAATTGCACTATCGAAGCAAAACAGTACAATGAGCGAAGAAATGAGCGATGACTAAATTGCGAAGGCCATAGTGGTAACGGTAACGAACTGTGGTTGACGCGCGACGGGTCTGTGACTGAGGTCGGGAAAGTGTCAAGGCCGAGCCGGTAGGCTGGGTTGCGATGTGCGAGGTGGCGGGGGGATTGTCGAAGCGAGGGTCGCGAGTGGCAACGGCGCTGACTGTGGTGCTACAGTGATGTACGCACTAAGCAGGGATGCGGCGTAAGGAAATGGAAATTTCTTTACACTATTCCCCCCCTAAAGAGGCCCTCCTTACGAGACTGCGTGTACGTACCGGAAATTGCGGCTGCGCAGATAGTCGGTGAGGATGGGGTGGTTTTAAATCTTGTCCAGGTCAGGGGAACCCAATTGTCTTCAGTTGGGGTGCGGTCTTTTCATCGAAACAGGAACTCGATCCTACGGGCTCCACGTGGGTCACGAACGCGATGGCTCATAATTTTCTCGGGTGTGATTACTGGCTCGGTGGGTGCTCGATGGCGAGGCAGTTGGCTTGCGGATGGCACGTAACGGAATAGGAGGCTGGCGTGGAAGGACGGGCTGACCAGTCAGCGGGGAGGAGGAGGTGGGCCGTAACTGGAGTGATCATGTGGCTAATACGAAATGGCCTGCAATATCGGGGGCGGAGTTTTGGGGTGATGGGTGGGCGGAGGCTTTGAGTATCGAGTAAAACTAAGTCATCGGGCTGGTAAGTGACGGGACGGCGGTGGCGATCGGCGTTGCGTTTAGTGATTGCGTTTGATTTTTTAATTGCTTCTGCTGCTCGGGTCCGTGCTGCCTGTAAAATTTCGACGAAATGATGTGCACGTGGTACGAGGTTGTCGGGATTTGGGGTCATGGGTACTGTGGGGTCTTGTTCGTAGTTGAGGTAAAACGGTGACTGTTGGGTCGTGGCGGATGGCGAGTTGTACGCGAACTCGATGAGTGGCAATTGCTGTTCCCACATGCCCGGGTCGTCGCATGTGGCTCGGATAAGCTGCTCCATGGTCTGGTTTGTCCGTTCTGTCTGTCCATCTGTCTCGGGGTGGTACGAAGAACTAAACTGTAGTCGCGTGCCCAACTGCTGCCATAGGTTCCGCCATAAGTTGCTAGTGAATTTCGTATCCCTGTCGCTAATGATTGATGCTGGTATCCTGCGTAATCGAACGATGGTGGCGATGAAGAGCCGAGATGTTTCTTCAGCTGAGATGGATTTCTTGCATGCTGCAAAATGCGCCATTTTCGTGAGTCGATCGACGACGACCAGGATCGCGTCGTTCCCACTTGCCCCAGCCGGTAACCCCGTGACGAAGTCCGTCGTCACCTGCTGCCAAGCACGCTCTGGGGGTGGTATCGGCTGCAATTGTCCTACCGGCCGTTTCCGTGATGACTTCATGCTTTGGCAGGTTGGGCACGAGGCCACGTGGCGCTACACGTCAGTCACATGCGGTCGGTGTGTTTTCTACCCCGAAATGACATGAGATAACCCCGTCGTGTGCCTCTTGTAGTAACAGCTCCCTTAACAAAGTGTACTCTGGCACCCAGATGCGGTCGGTGCCGGTTTTTACGTAATAGATGTAAAAGTATAATCTTACTTGTAGGCTATAGTGGGGCACTCCTTGTGAGAGAATAAGGACGGAGTCTAGAAGATTTAGGGGCCGAAAAAACTCAAAATCGTTGGTCTCAATTTCTGGACAGAATCGTCGCGCTCACAAGAAACGCCGTCGACCAAAAATGCATGGTCAAAACTTCACCAATTTCGGATATGTTGTAGCTCTAGAGCGTAGCTACAATTCCCAATTTGAATCGTATCAAAAGGTGAAGTATTTCTCAATTTCGGCGCACAGGGGGGTATGCTGCCATAGGAACTTAACTCAATCACAAGAGTCTCACAAGATTCACACAAGAGAGTTGGAGTAGCTAGAAACCAGGTAGGAGGGGTAGAGGAGGACGAGAGAGAAGGTCTCCAAGGAGTCCCCAATCAGGGAAACCCCATAAGCACATCAAATCCCCTCCCACTTTTACTTATGTCCCTTTCCCAACCCATGCCATGCACCTTACCCAACTTGGCCACACTTGCTAACCTATTTTGGCTCCTCCCAACCACTTGGCAGCATCTACAGTGATGTTGACAAATTTCCCAACCCCCAAAAGTCTATACCCCTTATGGAGTCAACCCCACAACTTCCCATAGTCACCACAACCAAATATCAAAAGCATACGAGCTTCTAACGTTCGTAACTTTCTAGTTCGTGCTCCGATTGAAGCGATACTTAGATCGTCGGAAAGCTCTTGAGCAGAGGTTTCACTTCAGATATCTGCTCAAGCCAAATAACATTAACACACACTAAAAAAACCAAACCACATCAAACAGAAATTCTTGCACACGCTCACACTACACATGCAACGCACAAACATGTGATG